AAAATACGGTTTTACATATACCCTGATTCCAACCCTAACCCTAACCCTAACCCCGAAGCTATCCGTAACCCTAACCACAACCCTTATTACTCTAACCCGAGCCCTAAACAATCGAATTCGTGTTTTACTAGCCTGTCACGTGACCAAAATGGTTTTTTGCCCATAACTCTCCAGGAAAGCATTTTTACTTGGAGGACTTCGCCGCTTCGACGCGCCGCGCAAACTAGCATTCTTGCTTCGCAAACTAGCATTCTTGCAAACTAGCATTCTTGCTTCGTCGACGATCGTTGCTCTGCTTCGCAGAGCAACGATCTCGACGGATTGACATCGTCAATCAACATTTTTACCGTTGTGGGGGTGATTGATCGGAATCAGCGTTTAAAAATACACCGAATTAGATTACTATCAGGATCAAGAGTCCACTGATCTTATAGCTTATTACACCTCTTATGCTGGGTTAAAGATCAACGCTAAAAAGACACAATGCATGGCGATCAGCAAGTGTGCGTCCCAGCGACCTTACACCGAAAGAGACAGTATAAAGCTAACAGTGGAGGGAGAACCTGTTGAACAGGTCAGCAACTTTGTTTATTTTGGTGCCAACATCAGTGGGGATGGTACCATTGACCGAGATCTTGACATCAGGATCCAGCGTGCTAATGGTGCGTTCCATCAGCTTTGGAAGATATGGAACAGTCGAACTATAAGAACGCCCACCAAGATCCGTATCTACAAGGCTGCTGTTATTACCACTCTGTTATATGGAGCTGAAGTGTGGAACACAACAAAGAAGCAGATGAAACGGTTTGAGGTCTTCCATCTGACCTCCCTGAGAAGAATCTTGAAGATAAAGTGGTTCTTCCATGTCTCCAATGAAGAAGTTCTCAGGCGTGCTGGAATTAAGTCTATCGAAACTTTCATCGGTGCCGCTGGACTAAGGTGGTACGGACATGTTGTCAAAATGCCAGAGACGCGGTTTCCCAATTTCTTACTGGATTGGAAACCAAACTATGGAAAGAGACTGAGAGGACGACCCCGCAAAGGCTGGATGGCCTGTGTACTCGAGGATGCGGCTGAATTTACAGGTGTCGATAACATCAGCAGAGATGCAGTAAAACAATTGGCTCTAAAGCGAGTGGAATGGAGGAACATGTTACGCCGTAGAAGAGATGTGTGTGATGCAGGCCACTCCAACGACTAGGAGGAGACCTCTTCATGTAGCATGTATGTCAGTATCATACCTTCAGATCAGGGCCTTTTTCACAAGAATTTTTTATTTGGGCGAGCGATTTATAGTCTAGTGGGAGCGTACAAAGTGACAACCGCCACACTCATAAAAGGAATAAAATGTAATCATGCAGGCCCACTGCACAAGCACGAGATTTAACTTTTTAAAGTGGCGCTGCAAGAACAAAGAATGCAAGCTCTGGTACTTACGCGCAATTTATGGAGGAGGATACCTGTTACTGGGCCGCGCTCAGCCTGTCATTCCGCCGAATCTCTATTGTTTATAAACATGATATAGCCTGAGGTCCCCAGGTAAGATACCTGAATTAGGAGTTAGTTCTGACCTAGCAGTAGGTAAGTAAAATTGGTTGCTAGCAATTGATGCAATGAACAACAGGACTCTTCACTTAACCATGTGCTTTCGTGCCACTGCGCGGGTGCGCTTGTTTCACAAGTCAAGGGCAAGGCGTGAGGCGGGCGCGCGCTACTGCAAGCGCAAGGGCTCTGGATAGAGCAATAATTCCTTCCCCACAGGAGGACCAAAGTGCAAAGAAACTGCTGCTAACTGCTGCTGACTACTGCTAACTGCTGCTGACTGCTGCTAACTGCTACTGACTGCTGCTAACTGCTGCTGACTGCTGCTAACTGCTGTTGACTGCTGCTAACTGCTGTTGACTGCTGCTAACTGCTACTGACTGCTGTTAACTGCTGCTGTCGCGTGCGCGCGCCATTTGCAGCAGTTAGCAGCAAACTTTTAAACTGTCCTCATGATAATGTCATCTCCGTGTGGCAGGTTACAGTAATCGCTTAGAGAGTTGAAACAGTGCAATTTAGTAGATTATCGCTTATAAATCTATAAATATACTTTCCAGCTTCCTACATCATAAACAATACCATTTCCTTACCGAACGTTAAAGTTGATAAACTCTGGCCAGGATATGTCATGGAATAACAATACTAATATTATAACTTTTCTTATACCCCGTACTAGAGCAGTATTGTGTCCAACACAACTAAAACTATAACTATATATGGTGATTATTATCATAGTTGTAGTTAAACGAATTACTGCACTTTTCCAACAAGCTCCGTTATTTTACATTTCAGTCAAAAAGATACTAGTAGCATAATACTCAGTTATGGCCAATTTATTTGTGACTTATGGCTCTTTGCAAGCTAATGAATAATGCCCCAAATCGTTGACCCATTGGTATTACCCATTAATTAATCATTAGTTTTTTGTATCATTGCTTTTCATTTAGTTATAGTATTGAACGGCACACCGCTGTCTGCTTTAAACCTTATAAAGTTGTAAATATAATACTTCGATGGCCACAGAGGCATCAAATACAATTTAAACCGAATAACTTGGCTTTCTTTTTATCCTTCTGATTCGAATAACTTAGATGATGACTTGTGTTATCCGACCTATCACGGCAAAATGGAATATCCTCCTTTATCTTCTGATGTTCTTGATGGTGGAAAATGGTGTTACATGCACAGGTACGTAAACATAAAAATTTTTAAGTGCAGTGACAATGATACTATATATATTGCATGGCTTCAATCTGAAATTATGTTCCGCAGCTCTTAAATACTTCGTATTAATAATTGAAATATTTTCAGAAAAAGTTGAACCCGCATCAGTTTCCCAAAGCAGTACTTTCAATGCAAATAAGGCAGAGCATGCTACTGACGGTGATCTGGGAACAAAATCGCACACTCAGTGTGGATGGAACATTGATTTGTGGTTCAAAATGAAGTTTGATGAAGCCTTCTGCTTCTTTGAAGTGGTGATCATCCAGTCTCATCATCTCGACTCGAGTGCTGCTCGTATGCAGGATACGAAAGTATTTGTAGTCAACGCAGATACAGGAATTGATAATCTCTGCGGAGTTCTCAAAATCAGTTCTGTTTTGACTATAGAGGGCCAAACGTATAGAATTCCTTGTCATCTGAAGTGTGGAAATAAAGTGAAGCTGACGGTGAGACATTACCAAGGGAGCTACGAAAATAAAGCGTGTATTCACATGAAAGAAATTACGGCATTTGGTGCAGGTAATTTATTATAACATTATAGTTTTTATCAAGATTTCGCTTCAGATATATATTTCACTGAAAGGTTATGTGCGATGTCATTAAGCTCCTACTATCACTGCAAATAGAACGCTCGGACAAAATCAGATCTCAAGGCCCTTTTATCTAAACGCGCCCGCGGTGCGCGAATTCGATTAAACATCATATAACTTAACTTAACATAGATATCTGGACTAATAATCATATCGCATAGCTTTAGCTAATCTTCATCATCTGTAACTCTGGAAGCACTATACTCATAATAGTATAGTGCTGGGATATGAGATCGCAGCAGGTACTCCAAAACTTAAAAACGCACCCTCTTCTGATGTTGGATGGCTTTCGGGCCGATACACAGTACTACTAGTAGTAGTACTACTACGGAAAAATGTTTGCCTTAGCGGGGTGGTATTTTCCCAAATTTTAGATTTAAATAAAGAAAAAGCGCGTTATAGGTGTATTAGTACGTTGCACATGCCATGCACAAAAGTGTCAAACCCTTTACGATACATCAGCATTCAGCAATGACCGATTCGGTAATTCAGACATCAATTGTTAACATAGCTTGCCGAAAATGTCATCAACTTATTACGTTTGCCAACAAAAACAATTTTTTGCTTTGATATTGATACTCTTGATTGGTGAATAGGATAGAATTTTAAAATTGTATGCTTCCATACAGTTATTGACTCAATTTAAACGCAACAGAATATCCATCTGAATTGAAAAGACCCTCCTGGAAAGACATGAGCCCATGAGGGTAAGACCCCAAATAAGCATAAAGGGAGAGGCCACACACTTAGGGAATCTCGGTCATAAATTTTAAAATAAAGTGCGACTCGGTATAGTAGTGCATGCATCGTATTACAAGGTCTGATTGATCTAACTCGAAGCCGACCTATTGTAGGACGTAGGTGTGAGGCGACAAATTGAGTGACCTTGAACTTTAAAATCACTTTATACCCTTATAGTAGTAGGATCGTGTTAAAAACGTGCGTCAAGTTCCAAAAAATTGTGACCTTCAACTTTAAAATCACTTTATACCCTTATAGTAGTAGGATCGTGACTTAAAAACGTACGTCAAGTTCCAAAATTGTGACCTTCAACTTTAAAATCACTTTATACCCTTATTATATAGTAGTAGGATCGTGTTAAAAACGTGTGTTAAGTTTCAAAAAATTGTGACCTTCAACTTTAAAATCACTTTATACCCTTATAGTAGTAGGATCGTGACTTAAAAACGTACGTCAAGTTCCAAAATTGTGACCTTCAACTTTAAAATCACTTTATACCCTTATTATATAGTAGTAGGATCGTGTTAAAAACGTGTGTTAAGTTTCAAGCAATTCAATGCTTGATTAATGACGTAAATAGTTGTTGTCTATACAGTGGATCTACTATAAAGAAGTAAATTGAACACTTGAAGTTCTCGGACCTAGTTTGCTGAAGAAAAAAAAATTGGGGGAGCTGGAATCTGTAATTTTAGAAATTTTTTCGTGACGCTGAAACAAACAGACTCGAATCAATGAAAACAAAACTTTTTTGAGAGGGCTTATAAATATCGCTTGCCGAAAGCTGTGCTATACCGTCTTTTTATTGGCTGATCAGTGATTATTAATGCAATTATAAGAGGGCTTATAGCTTACCAAGAGCTGAGTTGTAATATATAATGTATATATTATAGTACTAGGCACGGCACTTCAATGAGGCAACAAAAATTCTTTACAAAGGGCACAGAGATATGGAGCATATTGATGTTAGCAATAACAAGCTTAGTTGAGGAATCATTCCATAACTAGATCCCAACAAATGTTTGTCGTTGAACATGTGATTGCATGGTTTTTCGTCATCCAACGCTTTGTTGCACGTGTAGTACTGGCAGTCGACGTACGCTTTTCTTCCTTTTTCTTTTTCTTCTTTTATAGCAGTCACATTTATCTGCCAGTCTTCACGCTGAGTATTAATAGAAAATTAAAGTTTCCGGAACTACAATCAATGAGAGCTTAATAATTCTAAATGTATGTTTTTGGAGAATGACATGCTTGCAAACGACATAGTCTATGTTAAATTATGTTACAGATTTCAGCTTGAGTATGGAAAATGAAAATTATAAATGCTTACATATCTATTTTAATTCGAGCTAACTGGGCGGCGCTCAGCCTGTCATTCTGCCGCAGCTTTAATCTGTTTATGAACAGAAAAAGCCTGAGGTCCCCAAATAACATTCGAGCGTGCTAAATCACTCCAAACTGAAACTTCGAGATTTTTCTAAGGACCCCGGTAGTTGAAACCAATTTGATTCAATTATTTTTGAGCGCTGATTCTGAATCAGCCCATCAGATGACACAGAGTGTTTCCTTGGCGATCTATTGGCTAAAAACCGTTTTGATCACGTGACATATTGATATACATATGAGGAACTAGGTTAAATTTCTCTTTGACTTTAGGGTTAAAGGGTTAGCTGGTTTTAGCAGATGCTCGAGTAAGGGATAGGGTTAGGCTTAGGGTTGAAGTGCCTCACACAGTAAAGGCTGATTCAATAGATTCATCCTTTGAGTTTGACATGTTTAAGTGTAGTTTGACGAACTTTCTTGCTTTGATACCGGACAACCCTCCGATCGCCGGCTACAACTGCAGTTGGTCAAACTCACTGGTTGACTACTCGCCATCTAGGTGGTCAGATATCTCAATATCTGATGACCCTTCCGGCTCCACGGATGAACTCAACGAAGTAACGAAGTAAGTAAGTCAGACTCAGTGTACTAGATATTTTATAGTGCTTTGAATTGTTTGTCAGAGCCATCTAGAGAACGTGTTGTACTTAGTAACGTGATAGTCCATCGTAGAGTGATTTATTGGTACACGTTTGCACGAAAATGTAACGTTTAGCGAGTGAATTATCGTCATGCATTTTAATTCTTGCTTTTATATTTAGTTTAACTTGTACCTTCCAATTTTGTCATATTTTATGCTTTTATTATGATACATAATATTTACCTCAGTCCATTCTTTCTCTCCCGTAGTTTCATTTTCAAACTCTTCTGCTTCGAAACAGAAAGATTTCACCTTGTCAGTGCAACCTTTCTGGAACATTCGGTAATCCTCCGGTGGCTGAATATACTCGTACGTTTCGTTTCTGTAGTGCCTGCGTTAACAGTGGAGTTGAGCCTCTAATCTTTATGCGAGATCAAAACTGAATAAGATTGACCCTTTATTTTCACTACAACATTTGAAAACATGACTCTAATTATATGGAGAAAATAAGAATCAGGCACAATCCCCTGTATTCCAACTAAACTCTTGTTGACAGAGACAGGAGTGCAATTCGAATATTTCGTGTGAATGTGTAGCGATTAACGAATTAAAACATTAAATGGAACATAACGATGACGATTTCTTGTTGGATATATTTCAAGATACAAGACGATCAAATATATCCGAGCTAAATTTATGATTATGGACGGGTTATCAAGCTTTGTGATTGATAACGAAGATTGAAGCAATTAAGAAATCTCACCATCCAGCATAATCCTCGCCAGTGTAGTTAAAAGATCCATTCGTAAGGAGTGTTATATTATTCAGGAAAAGAATATCTTCCCCCAAAATCTCTGTGCAATTTTTTTCTTCCTCCCACGAACAGTTAACTGAGACATAACCGTATTATATATATATATTAATGTTATTTAACTATATTAATGTTATTTAACTATAATATTAGTGTTATTTAACAAAGCGTTTAAAAATAATTTTTCTGTCCCTGCCATTACATTTACCACTTTAACACTTAACTTGTTTAAAATATCAAGCTGAAAGAATTATACCTTCCTTGATAATTCCTGTAACGATATTCTACAGTATACGGTCCATCATTTGCATAAATAAATCACCAATAGAACCGTTCAAAGTATTTATCTCATTTGTAGTTTACTTCACGACCTTCCCTATAGCCAGGTCATGATTACCAGGCAAATGCTGCCCGTGAGCTATCAGTAGAAGTTCGATTAGAGACCCCGGTTGTACTGGCCTAGACCATAATACTTGCTCTATTCTACTGACTCATTAGTACAGCAGGTCTGAAGAAATGGAATACTTGATGTTATAGCGATAAACATAAATACTGTGCCCTCAATATCCCGTACAGTCGCGTGTATACTTTTACTTAGTTATTGTTATCATATATAGTACTTTTACTATTGTTAATAGTGGTAGTGATAGAAACAGCTATGTTATGTTTTTCAAAACTAAGTTCTGTTATTTTTGTGGCTACTGATTGTGTATTTTCAATGGCTCTGCAGTATATTTCTGTTCTACAAAATATATTGGCACCAAACATTCATAACGGACATGATCCCACAAAATTATTACCAACCCACAACGCAAACCCATCCCACCATTATTTTAATTTTTTCACTCCGAGTACATTTTCACTTTTAGAAGTATATATTTTATTATGTGTATATATTTATTATGTGTATATATACACATAATAAAGTTATAAATAACAGATAGTGTAAACACAAGGCTCTAATCTTTCTCTAAAAAACAGAATTATTAAACATTCTGCGCCAATTTGCTCTATCAAAAGCAATATTCCTAAGATAATTTAAATCATATATATTATTAAGAAATAAATTTCGGCACCTGAAGTCGTGCTTTATCAACGAGAACAGGTTTGACTGAGGCCGTCCAACTCTCCCTGGCATCTGCAAACTATTAATAGCAAATACCAAGGAGGTATAGGCAGGTCCATTATCTGGACCTCTCAGCACATGACCAAGCATTCTCCATTGACTTTTCTCCACTCTAGCTGACAGTGGTTCACTGTTGCAGCGTTTATACAGATTGGCGTTAGAAAATACCCCCGGGTATTTATAATTCAAAATCGTTCTTAAATGACGCCTGTGTACAATATCCAACTTCTCCAAGACAGCCTTAGGTGCAGCCCAACAACTGGAGTTATACATTAACAGACAGTACCAGGGCTAATTCATACAGCAGGGGTAGAATGAAGTATAATGACTCACTTATCAAACAATAATCAGTCATCAATTTAACTCAAATTAAGGACTCACGAATTCTGTTCTTCTCAACGGGCTCGTACTCAAAAACATAGTGCAGGTAGAAGGAGTAGCAACTTCCTGAGTTGTAGTAACACTTGGTAGTGGTTAGGTTCTGGTTGGTTATGTTCGTTACACCTGCAAGTGTAAGTTAGCATCTCATCTGGGATATTGTTTACCTAATATTGTTTAGGGTGCATGTCTTGTAGATTGGTATTGTCAGCAAATATCAAGTATAATGATAAAGCGGACGGTTGGTATATGCATGGTGCATATTAGGGATTATGCTTCGACTATTATTGTTATAATGTGCAATTTGGTATCAACTATTACAAGCAAGTTGTAGGGCCATGGGCCATGGCATGGGGAGTTAAGCCACGCCATTAGTATTGGCCGAGTATTCAACAAATCAAGGCCTGATAATTTGAATGAGGGTATTAAATTCCTGGCCCCTCATAATGAATTCCTGGCCACTGTTTAATTCCTATTTAATTCTACCGTCTTTGTTCTGTCATGAACAGGGTATATTATAAACACCAACCAGCTTATCGACTTAACCCACAGTTTGAGTTTGACGCTATATCCTTTTGTAGAGTTATTTGTTTTATGTTCTGTTTCATGATCTGTATAAACTAATAAACTAATAAATAAGTATTATAATAATAATAAATGATATGATCAGTGATAATCATATAAATAAGTAATATTGAAAAATACAAATTTTCGTTTTATATGATTTTGCAATTTTCTTCGGGATTTTGACTTCCAGTACCTCAATTTGGTTTAATTAACTGATTAATTAGTTTCAGGGCAAAAAGTTCATCCAATCTGTCAAATTTGTGTTCAGAAAGTTTCATATTTGAAAATGGGACTGAGTGTTATTATAAGCATATTAATATACCAGAGGAATAAATTTGGTGGAATTATAAAAATAATGACCAATTTCGGGTAGTCTAAACTATAAAACTTTGCCGCTGTCTGTTTTAGTTTTACCTGTTACTTCATCGAGAAGAAGGTCATTGCATACCATGGACTCGTTTACTAAAGACTTAGTTCCGCATTGATAACATTCCAGGTTAACAGCACCAACTGAATAAATTGGTTAAACATCCAATAAGGAGTGAAGGAGTCGTTCAAATTTTACTTAATCTGCCGAGGGGGAGGAGGTTTTCAAATAATGACGGCATGGTTACGGGGGGCTGGGTTTAAAAATTACCAAAAAGTTAAGATCACGCAACATGAGAGACTCCAAAGGAATTGGATTTAGGGCCATGCTCAGCATGAGGGGCCGACATTTAATCATTCATTTTAAAGCTTGTATTTTACCATGCAGATAATGGTGAATCGAGGGCATCTCTGAAAACATACGCATTTTATTTCGTCTATCAGTAACTTGTAATTTTAAACATAAGCATGTTATGTAGACCTCAAACTGAACTAAACTAAACCGATCATATGTGCTCATTTAACTACCAGTACCACTCACCTTGGAAAATGTAAGCTACAAAAACAACACCCACAATAAATAAATTAAGGAAAATCTCTCTGTTGGCACTTAAAACTGGCATCAGATAATCAGATATCTTCAATTATCAACGATTAACCGAACAAGAGTAACACGAAAAAAGTCTTCATTAAAACAATTTTAATAACTTAATAGGTAGAGTATAATAGCAGACGATATTACAGTCGCCAGAGAGCATATTATTGTGAATACATTTTAGAACTTTTAGAATGTAAAAATGCTGAATCAAATAAAAATCGCCTACTTAAAAGTCCCTTTTATGGAAAGCCTTTATTTGAAATATTTGTAGATTATTTATTTAGTAATAATAAGAATCGGGTCAGGATACTGGCCCGTAATTATTGGAGCACAAGGAAACCCTACCCACTATATGTAGTAATAAATAAAAATCTCGGAGACTAGGTAGTATTTTCTTTTATTCGACGGTACGGTAGATTGATGCACCCATGAGTGAACAGTAGCATCATAAATATTCATATCGATTGCGTGGGCACACCACCATCAACATTGAGCAAAGCACTGTAATTTGCAAAGTCACGTGATATAGCAATGAAATACATAGACAAACTGCAGTACAAAACCAGTGAGTGTAGCGTAGTCCAGTCCAAATTATCCCAACTTTGATTTTTTTCTAAATGTTTGCACTTGATTGAAGATTTTTGGGTTTAATGTTCTTCCGATAGAAACATTTAAATGTATACTATTTGACCTGTAATAAGTACAATACTCTAAAGAGAGAGCTGTCCTACCTCAGAATATTTTGAGGATAAGTTAATACGTGAATATGTTTGTGTGCAGGTGCCCATTTTTAGGTACTGGGAAACGGTCCAAATCAGTATTCATCGTAAATGTTGGTGGGTCATCCCCACAGATTATATATATACTATTAAGTGTAGTAATTTTGGTTAATCAATTTATAAGAATTAGCTGGCCCATGATGAAGGTGTTGTCGCAGAAAAAAACCTTTTAATCTTCCTTATTCCTTGCCATTCAAACTTTGTTTTACCAGTCCGACAGCTAAACTGCTAGAAGATATTATAAACGTTATAAATTAATTAATAACAAATCTTTACCAGGAGATGGCACAACGAACAAAAACTAGCAAAACCCTTTGGGTACTTCTCCTTCTGATCTCTCTAATAGGAAATAACCTAGTTACAGCTACTACAGCTTCGACCACGGAGACAGCCACAACTGATGCTGCCACAACTTATGCTGCCACAACTGATGCTGTCACAACTGATGCTGCCACAACTGATGCTGCCACAACTGATGCTGCCACAACTGATACTGCAGCATCAACAGAAGCTGCTACTGAAGTGACGACTGAAGCAGTCACTGAAGCAGCTACTACTGCAGAAGAATCTACAGATGAATCAACTACTGAAGCGGCAACCGATGCCGCAACAACAGAAGATTCCTCTACAGATGAATCTACAACTGAAGCGGCAACCGATGCCGCAACAACAGAAGATTCCTCTACAGATGAATCTACAACTGAAGCGGCAACCGATGCCGCAACAACAGAAGATTCCTCTTCAGATGAATCTACAACAGATGAATCTACAACAGATGAATCTACAACTGAAGAAGATACTACTGAAGCAGATACAACTGAAGTCGTGACTGATGCATCTTCAGAAGAATCTACTGAGGCATCAGATGAAGCGACCACTGAGACTGCAGAAGAAGAGAGCACCGAATCTACCGATGAAGATTCCAGTACTACTGAGGCAGCTGACGAAGAAACAACAACTGAGGCAGCTGAAGAATCTAGCACTGAAATGTCGAATGATACTGAGACTGAGGAATCTGATGATGTATCTTCAACGGAGACATCGAATGAAGTTTCTTCAACTGACGAATCAGACGAAACATCGACAACTGAAGCATCAAACGAAGATTCGTCAACGGAAGAAATAACCGAAGTTTCTTCAACCGAAGAAACAGACGATACAGCAGCAACTGAGGTATCAGCTGAAGAGTCCGACAATACCACAACAGATGAGGAAGATGATGAAACGACAAGTTCTACTGAAACAGAGACGAGACTGTCTCAACCACTGAAGAAGGTTCGGAGGAGACAGGAAGCGACTCAACGACAGCATACGGGGGACGAACCTACAGATATATGATGCAAAGTGGAACCGACGATAGTTCAGCTGCTATTGGTAAGCTTAATTCTTTTGTACAAAAAATAGTTTTTTGAGGTTTTGTTTGAATTACCAAGCCTGAGGGAGTAAGATCAAATTTGGCATAATGAGGCTAGAGGATAACTATTTCTGTGGTTTCATTATAATCAAAGGCTCGTAAGATTGTTCTTCTGTTCCAGTACGAACTATTAGTTGATTGGTTCGAACCAAACCGGAAGTTGGCTGCTTCAGCTATTATAACTGCAAATTAGGCATGTTCAATGTTCATTTATTGTAGACGCTGACTGTATTAAATTGTAATCCATATCTTTCCCAGGACTAAAATCAAGCTTCTCTGTTATCGTTATCGCAGCTTGGTTTCTTCGCATTCAAGTTCAATGACAAAGCTATGCTGCAAGAACATTTCGAAATTAATTAGAATGCTGGACGTTTAAATTGCTGGACAGTATGATTTTAGATATGTTTTGCTCATTTTGAATTGTACTGTAAAAACATGAGAACTTATCTTCTCAGTCTTTCTAATCTGTGGCTCGAAGTAAATACCATTAATTTTGTAGCATGTTTCCTCGGCTGGAAATGCAAAATTTTTATATTGATGCAGATGCAACCGCGCTTACACCTTGTCCGATATTTTTTCATACAATTACTTCGAATCATTACAACAAACAAGGTCACACTCGGAAACTAGAAAAAAGCTTGCACAATATCAAAATTCCACCATTCTCGCTTGTTGATGTTTACACCTTTGTTCGTTTATATGTATCTTAATGTTTCTTCTAATATACCAGACAATTTTACTTAGAGTTTATAGTTAGAAATAGTTTTCTTTGCAAATGCTTGCTAAACGAGGTGGTGGGCTGTTAAGGTTACTACTTGCGGTAACCTTGATTGGAGGGGTACAAATAGTAGCTGCTACTTCCGCTTCGTCAAGTGCGACCTCGGCAACTCAGGCAAGCACAGATGACACCACAACTGTTGCAACGACAACTGCAGTAGCGACATCAACGGAGCCTTCTACAGAAGTGACTACGGAAGTAACAACAACTGAGGAAGTAACAACGACTGAAGCAGGAACGACTGAAGCAGGAACAACTGAAGCAGGAACAACCGAGGCAGGAACAACTGAAGCAGGAACAACTGAAGCAGGAACAACTGAAGCAGGAACAACTGAAGCAGGAACAACTGAAGCAGGAACAACTGAAGCAGGAACAACTGAAGCAGGAACAACTGAGGCAGGAACAACCGAGGCAGGAACAACCGAGGCAGGAACAACCGAGGCAGCAACCACTTCAGAAGAATCAACAACGGATAAATCCACGACAGAGGGCACTACAACAGAAGCGGTTACTTCAAGTGAAGTTACATCGACAGAAGCGGCTACTTCAAGTGAAGTTACTTCAACAGAAGCGGCTACTTCAAGTGAAGTTACATCAACGGAAGCGGCTACTTCAAGTGAAGTTACTTCAACAGAAGCGGCTACTACAACCGAAGCAGTAAGCACCACTGGTTCTACCACTATAACCTCATCATCCTCTTTCACGACCAGCACAGAATCCTGGTATGAAGAACTATGGGAAGAAATAGAGGAGTTCTTCGAGGATCTATTTGATAGTGATTCGAGCAGTAGTTCTTCTCCTAGCATGGCAACCTCAGCTACAAGTTATACAACCTTCACATCTGGAAGTACTGAAAGTACTACCGCAGCAAGCTCTGCCTCTGATAAAGAGAGCACAGCGGGCACCAGTGACAGCACTGCTGGATCAAGTGAAACGGGAACTGATGAAACCAGCACAGCCGATGCAGCATCTTTAGGTGGATCCTCAGACACCTCATCAACTGAGAGTGAGAGTGAGAACGAGTCGAAAGTAGCTTCTACCGAAGAATCAACACTTACGGAGAGTGAAGTGGTAACTACGACGGAGATGCCCGAGAAACACCTGACCCAACCACATTTGCCATTATTCGAAAAAAGAGTGGAGTTAAATGCTGAGGCAGAGGCTGGTACTGACCCTCAGTATCGTTATGTGATTAGGTCGGATCGTCAGATAGATGATGACAACGCCAACGCAGCAAAAGGTTGGTGGAATGGAAGATGTACAGGGAGGGGGGGGGGGAGGCAAAAGTCAATACCCATACGTTGGGTCTTATACCACCGCCTGTGTTTTATATTTGATCAGAGTTGTTGCTTTGCAGATGGCATACTGTACCTACTTGCTACACGTTGCACACCTCTCGTGCACGCGATCAAAAGAGGTTGCAGCGTGTGTCAAGTACCTACTTGTTCGAGGATTCCGTCACCAAAATTTGAAAATTCGGTTTTTGGGGGCCACACCCAATCAACATTTAATTGCTTATACTCATGTTGGTAAACATGTTAGAGACTCCGTTGTACTATATTGCAATAGGTCCTTTAATCCGGAATATAATCTGAAAAGATGGTAAGAAACAGGTTTAAAATGACGAAGTTATCAAGCAATTTGTTTATCTCGTTAGCAAAATTGATTGGGTACTCAATGATTACCCAATAACGACACCGTAATTGGGCTCTCTGAACGATAATTCCCATAATGCAGTTCTAGCCTCAACCCAATCTTCTAATCACACGTAATGAACAAACTCGTTATGCTTCATATCTCGGTCATCTGAGAAGCTAGATCTATCATTTTTCAGGACAAACGTAATTTAAATGGCCATCAATTCAATAAAATTTGGCTCGATCCGACTATCTAATCTAAACTATCAAATAATTGCGAAAATGAACCTTCAATTGAAAAAAATGAACACGAATATTTTTCGATTTGATAAATTCCTCGAACCAGTGGTGGTACCAAAAAGAATTATTTCAATTGGGCACTCAGTGACTGAACTATTAGTATTAAGTATTAACATCAACGAGGCGTCAACGTATGCAGTATGGGTACTGACTTTGGTTAAATTGTTGGCCTCCTGATTCTCCTTTGTCAGTGTAACTGGGAAGAAGGTTATGGGACTATGGACTATAAGATCGAGTAGGAAGCCGAATTGAAAATCTTGCGAAATTGATATATTGCAAACCTGAAAAACCGTCCCGAGTCCCTTGACCCTTATGCAAAACCAACTCAATACGCAGACTCCTATAAAATATTCGAACGTTAAAACCATCAAGTGCAGTGCAATTCACAAGTAGAACAATCTATAAATATTTAAATAAATAAATATTTGATGATTCATGTGACCAATGCAATATTGAATATCTGTATATGGCATAAGCACACTCTTAATTAAGATATATATATAGGGTACGCTCACTGTCATTCACGTATTACACTATCAAGTTTTCATGCATGACTTTAAACATCACGCACATAAGAATTCGTTCGCGTTGATACACGTTATAACTTATAATTATATAAATCATAATATATACCACTGCACACACTTTAAAACGTTTATCAAGGAATTCGCGAGAATTCCTGTTCGAAAGATTCACGCTACAGAAATTAAAATCAGTGCGGCCGATTTACTGAAATTAAAACGTTGCAGGTACACGAAAAACAGCTCAGCAGTTTGCAATAGTTCTTGGTATCTATTACATCTTCGGATATTGATCACAAGCTCCATGTAAACCAGAAACACGCCAGTGAGCATAATTCTTTTCAAGAAACATCTGAAAAACGGATCCGAGCAGTAGACATTGGAATTTGGAATAGGCATGGACATGTCCATCCAAGTTATCGAAATGAACGATTCCAACAATAAAGCAGATACTCTAGGTCAAATCAGTTTGTTGAAATTTATGAATTAGTTCACCCTGGAGGTAAATCTGAGAGATATTTGATCGGAATGTTTATAAATAATAAAAGAATAAACCGAATTGTATTCCTTTTATATTACAAATAACACCAAAGGGGTGAAGAAATTTTTAATGATTTGGGGTTAATTTTGATATGGAGCGGAGAAAACGCATTAAGTCCATTTTTTCGAAATTTTGAGATATTGGTACCAAAATTTTCAGGAGAAGATTCTCTACAACTTAAGCTATGAATCAAGTTATCAAAATACTGTTTTAGCTGCCGCGAAAGGCATTAAGTCACACAAAACGTGAATATTTAGCTCGTTATTCCAAAACCTTCCCTGAGAAAAGGCATTAAGTCCATTTGTAATGCCTTCTCTGAGGGAACTTTTTCTGTTCCTTGAGATTCCCTGAGAAAAGGCATTAAGTCCAGACTTTATTTGCAGTTTTTATAGTTTTTGGCCTATAACTTCCACAGTTTTAGTTATATCGAAACAATTTTTATGTGGTCGTAATCAGCTCAGCAAGCAAACAATTTTGGTACTAATATTTCAAAATTTAAAGGATGAGGGGACCTTAGAATTTACTTTCAAATATTCGCGTTTAAGTCCTGTGAAAGTGTGTAGAATCAAAAAATACGCCGGACTGTGAAATCGATAATTCGTGCAATATCACGCCGCGCTCCTATTGGCTGATAGCAATTTTGGGCTGTGACGTCAATTATGTGTAAGACCAACGTGCGTGCGCGCACACCCTTCGCTCGTGTCAACATTTTGTCCTGTTCTGTTTTACTTACGTCGTGTTACCTTTGGCGTTTGCGAGAGCGGTATCTTTGGTTGCACTGAATTAGTCTAAGTTACGAATAATTCTCTTTAATAGTTAAATGTAACTCAGAAAGGCTTTCTTGTAGTTGTAGTAGGTATTTCTATTTATAAATAGCTAAGATAAGTAGCATCCGCTAACTAAACCACAAACTGCTATTTTGTTTTGACTTGTTTGAAACCCGATATGGACACAATTAAAAATCGGCATATTTCTTTATACAAGAATAAAGGAATGTATTTTCATATGAAATGTGCGACGAACAATATAAAATCAAGTGTTGCAATCGGCAGAGCACAATCAAATCAAGTGTTGCAATTGGCAGAGCACTACATATGAAATAAAAGATATGTTGACCGACCCACTTAATATATGTTTAGCTTTTCCGAAACTTGTTCGTTTAGTGTTGTGGATTACGTCAAGAGGGACGACAAACCGCCGCTGTATACTCACGAATACATCCGTAAGCCGATTCCTAAGACATTTCACGGCACTCCTAAGCCCAGCAAGCAAGTCCTGCTAGACGAGCGGCTAACAAGGATGTCAAAGCCTGCTCCAAGTATAGAGCTAGGGTGATAGTTTTATAATGGTACATTATATATGCAATGTATTGTAACTGTATTCAACATTACCTAACATTATTATCTCAATGAATTATAGTATCTTATTTGTACATTGAAATATGATAATTGATCAAAAACCAAATATAAATGCCAGATGAAAGTACAGTTTAAAATATGGGTGGCTTATAATTGGATGTATAAAGACACTCTTTATATTTATAGTGAAAAAGCTTTCAAATGAACAAACTTTTAAGACAGCAAAGCGCCGCAACAGAAGATCTAAAAATCGATTGAATGTATGATGTAGTAGAATACATTTTACTAGCTGGCCCTTGGCGCCTCTAGTCCTATCTGAGTGCGCACGTGCGGTTTGGCACTGCGCGTGTACCGGCCTTTAGCTTAGTTGTACACTCATTTATAATTTACCGTTTTAGTTTGCTGTGACTTGAGTGTAAAGCGTAACGAATGTGGATGTGTTCGTCTGCTATGCTTGGTATAATATTGCTTGGTGTAATAGTTTCAAATCTTGCTTACGTTATAAATAGTGTCACATAGTGAGTTAGAACTTAAAAGCTTGGTGCTTGGTGCTTGTCCAACTGGAATGAAGACATGCATTTCATACCTACCCGATCCGTTTTTATTAGGACCGTGTTGTGTTGATATGACATGTTGATATATCAACTGTGGTACGATACAGGGAGTTACTAGGTGTTACGTTGGGAGCTATAAATATACATAATTTACATGCCTTTCTGTGTGACTTCAATCTTATTTCAGGTGTATCTCGGCTCATGGTTATCGTAGGGTGATAATTCTTTTTTCAACCGGTCATAAAAAGTCTCCTCTCCATTGGTTATAGGCTTGTTAGTATTGTAAATTGTTTATGTATTCTTAATTAGTAATTTAGTCAGCCCGCACGCTCATTTTACCTGTATTTCTATATGCGCGGATCAGAGCAACTCACATAATTGACGTCACAGGTTCAAATTGTTATGGCTGGATATCTCGGCGCGCGAATGAAATACAACTTTGCGGATTTCACTAAAGTGGTTTTTACGATTAATGCAATAATATGATTTGCACGAGAAAAAAACTTTTTCTAAGGTCCCCTCATCCTTTAAAGAAATATGATTTTCAAAATTTTTGAACCTGAACACAAGGGTCCCCCCTTGTGTGAATTATTGAAACAAATTTGGTGCTTTAAATATTGTATGTTTAAATATTTTTACCCAAATTAATGCGTATGACCGAGCTGAATACGATGCTGTAAAAATTATTCCAAAATATTTGATGTTTAAGAAGTTATAGGCATTTTGAGCGAAAAATTATCCATTTTTCGTCAATATTACTTACTTGCAATGCACAGGAGGCCCACTTAATTATATTGCAAAGATATGATAAAAAATATAGAAATGTTGTATTTTCTGTGTTGACTTTATCTGAGAAAGAATGGACTTACTGCCTTTCTAGAGAGGAATCGGTTGAAATCGATCCTGATAAAAGGCATTAAGTCCGCAATTCCCTCAGAAAAGGCATTAAGTCCAATGCGGATGGGAAAATAGTTCAGTTATTCTGGAGGAAAATGGTTTTTGTAGATCAGTGTTGGTGAATTTATGCATTTAAGCATGTTTAGGACATATGACAATAATTTATTTACAAATAGATGTCAAAATTAACCCCGTTTATGCGAATAAAATTACTTAAAAAACGACGAACACGTTTGTCCCATTTTCTCAAAATGACATCGATGTGACTTAATGCGTTTTCTCAGGGAACGGCAGCAATGCAATATCACAGTGCTGGCAAGCACGACCGTTGCATTTATTGTGGGTATACTATGTTCCCCATTTACTATTATACCCCCTTTACTATTATACCCCCTTTACTATTATACCCCCTTTGGTACACGTTACAAGCCTCTTTTGTGCACGCGAAGCGTGCACTCCGGCCGGAGGCGGCGGCCGAAGGCCGCCGCCTCCGGCAGGAGTTTTCCAGGCATTAAGACTCATCGGAAGTCGTTAAGCAGAATTATTTTTAGTTCAAAACATTCTAATTTGATGTCAAAGATGACAGGAATAAAAAATAGTTATGTTCAGATTTTTAAGAAATTTGCATAAAATACTCGCCAGCACTGTTATACGAAATTCGGTAAAAAACCCAAAATCGCCATATTCAGGTGCCTTAAAAACCATGTTAAAATTGAGTTAGAGATCTGAAATTTTTCAGGGCGTCTAGACGTTGATCAAATCGACTGCAAAAAAAGTTTCAGGTTTCAGGAGTATCGGGAAATGGGTTTTCTAGAACCCCTGTTTTACGACAGATTGTCGTGATATATATATATATACATATTCAGGGATAGACGCTTTGCCAGTCAATTGTAGCCTGTATTTAATTGTCCATAGATTCAAAAGTATAAAAGATAAAGCCATTTCCGACCACAGGTCTTGAAAATAATTGTTTACACTTTAGTTTACATTGTATAAAAAAATTATTTGACGTCATAAACACCCCTTGATGACGTCATCAAGTTAACCGTTTTTAAAACTTGATTTTTGACAAAGTAATAACTTTTAAAATTAATTTTAAACCATTAAGGAGTAATTTTATTCAAAATCTGAGGAGATTTTCATCTTAGATAATTGTTCAAGCATTCTGAAAATCTACCGGAAAGTTTTTCTAGCTTGCTCCTTCATAAAGATATTCGTCATTGAAGTTTGTGCTTTTTTGAAGAATTATTTTATAAAAACGTCAATTTTGCGATTTAGTATTCTCTGGTGTTGGGCCATGCCTTAAGTTGAGGAGCTCAGTTCTGCTTCCTATAGGTATAAATTGTGCATTAGGCTAGTTTTGAAGTTGAAAATCGAAAAGTTGCACACGTGGGGACACGCCCAAATTGATAGAAAATTGCTAAAATCACTGAAAATTGCTGTTTTCGTCATTTTCTGTCAACTTTAGAGTGCCGTTGTGATTACAGTTCTTCTTGAAATACTTTGAAACTTTGCATGCTTATCAAGCTATATATAAAACAATTACATGAAAAAATTTACGGCGATTCAATATTGGATGCGCACGCAACGTCCGCTCAAAGTTTGCACGTGCGAAAGGTGAGAATTTTGCTCATTCGTGATTTCCAACAAATTCTGCTTTGCCACGACAGTTTAATGTCATTATATATGAATTTAATGCCAACTTGAATGAGTATTAGGTGGCATATTCAGTCAGTGATCGACCGATATGCTTACCTAAACACAAGGAAATGTTTTTAAAGGAAAATTTCTAAATCGTTGAAACTTCCTCCTTATTAATTAATGAAGATATCAGTTTATATTTCGACTTTATAAAGTACCCTGACATTATAATCAAAAAGAGATGATATTTTACCAAAACCCATATTCATGGGTAGAGTGGACCGCTGCCAGTGTCTCTCTTTCCCAAACAAAAGGAAATGATATTAATTTGATTGACCGTTCTCAAATGCAAAATGATACCGATAATGAAATCGGTCGCTCGCTTTTCCCATTCATTTACAATTGTAATAGATTAAGAAGATCTACCCAAAGGCAGCTGTACTCGGCAATAAAGATTCAATAAACTTCAGCTAATTCAATAAGCAATAACTACTACCCTTACCCCGAAATACTAGGTATCGATCCGAACGCAACCCAAAGAGATTTTTACAGCATCTGACTGATGTAATCAATCGAAATTTATTACAATTCGTAAGCCGTGAATGAATGGGAAAAGCGAGCGACCGATTTCATTCTCGGTATCATTTTGCATTTGAGAACGGTCAATCAAATTAATATCATTTCCTTTTGTTTGGGAAAGAGAGACACTGGCAGCGGTCCACTCTACCCATGAATATGGGTTTTGGTAAAATTGAATATCTGTATATGGCATAAGCACACTCTTAATTAAGATATATATATAGGGTACGCTCACTGTCATTCACGTATTACACTATCAAGTTTTCATGCATGACTTTAAACATCACGCACATAAGAATTCGTTCGCGTTGATACACGTTATAACTTATAATTATATAAATCATAATATATACCACTGCACACACTTTAAAACGTTTATCAAGGAATTCGCGAGAATTCCTGTTCGAAAGATTCACGCTACAGAAATTAAAATCAGTGCGGCCGATTTACTGAAATTAAAACGTTGCAGGTACACGAAAAACAGCTCAGCAGTTTGCAATAGTTCTTGGTATCTATTACATCTTCGGATATTGATCACAAGCTCCATGTAAACCAGAAACACGCCAGTGAGCATAATTCTTTTCAAGAAACATCTGAAAAACGGATCCGAGCAGTAGACATTGGAATTTGGAATAGGCATGGACATGTCCATCCAAGTTATCGAAATGAACGATTCCAACAATAAAGCAGATACTCTAGGTCAAATCAGTTTGTTGAAATTTATGAATTAGTTCACCCTGGAGGTAAATCTGAGAGATATTGATCGGAATGTTTATAAATAATAAAAGAATAAACCGAATTGTATTCCTTTTAAATTACAAATAACACCAAATAAAAGGGGTGAAGAAATTTTTAATGATTTGGGGTAAATTTTGATATGGAGCGGAGAACCTTCTGTTCTCTGTACATTTTTCCGAGTTTTCCTCGCTCCTTAATCCAAATACGAATAACTAAAACAAGTTTATATAACAACGATAAATTATAAAACTTTTTACACTTCATATTATGTACAGATTAAAACTTCGCAATCAATTTCGACACACATTTCAAAGAAAGTCTTAAACCGTACAGCATCTAAAAACTGTCTGACCAAATAAAATCAAAACCATGCTTTTCAACCAAGCAAATCATAACTGAAAATCACTCAATTGTTAATAATGCGATTCTTATAGACTCTAATCATACAATAATCTTAAGAACATAAACGATAAAGGGTAAATTTCTGCTTATTATCAGTTTACCAAATACCATCATCGGTAAGATCTTGATAATATGCCATGCATCTCATGAAATAATATGACATGCAAATAAGTTCATCTAGCAATTTCTTGTGCAGGATGAGGTATATCTACTATGTACATCTAAACGGAAGTTTCCTTTGGAAGAACTTCCCCCTTCGCTGTTAAAAAGGCATCTTTACGAGACAGCCGGGGATCAGTGGTACTCGACGTTTTCCTGAAACTCCTGTATTCTCCTGTACCTCGGATCTTCACTTTGTTTTTATCTTTTCGACCGAAGGACGCAGCTCGAGATAAAAACTTGGGGAGCTTCTTTTCCTTTCTGTCTGAAACTATGTTTATTTTAGAAACAGTTAACAGAGATGCTTTAACATCGATAGTGCGAATGCGTGTTTTTTTACCGACGTTACAAGCAATGTTTTCCATGTGGGATCAGTGCCGTGACATTTGCTCAGTGGACAGTGAAAGTTTCGATCATCTTCAACTCAAGATGAACAGATGTGACATATTAAATATTAATGAGGAATAAATGTCTTTTATGTTTTTTATCCGGATTTTAAAATTTATCGATAGCGCGCGGGACGCGTGGGAAGTTCTGCGCGAAAATACGGATACTTTTCTTTAAACCATATTGTCAAAACTAGCAACACCTACGCGAGTGCGCGCAGTAGACAAGTGGAACAAATTGGTAAACAACGTACTAAGTAAATTAAAAACTGAAATCAGAACTTCGGCACAGATATTTCATTCCAAGTTCATCAAGCTTTAATAAGTTTCGCTTTTCCTAATTTGTCCAAGTTCTACAGATAGGAACTACATTGACTGCTATATATCCCAAGACTAAACCAGGTACAAAAAGAGAGCGTATGTTCGTAAATTAAAGAAAAATGATAACTCAACCTTGAGATACAGTAGTCTGAATATCTGGTTCTGGTGAACTACCACCCTCAGTGGGCGAGGTAAACTTGTGGACAAATATATCGAACTTTTTTCTGTCACGCTTGGTTTTGATTCTGTCCGGTGCGTTTGCTAAAACTGATTCGTCCACAACGGCAAGAAAATATGACAATCTGTTGTTTGTAAATCCTGAGTTTTCTGACGGCTCTCTCAGAGAGATACTGTCTGTATTGACTGACAGAGGATTTGAGAGATACGTTTGGAAATAAAAGTGGAGGATTCGTCGCGGCCAAAATATTAGTTGTAATTTAAGGGAATTGAACTAGTAATTCCCAGTTATCATTATTATACTGCAGGTGGATTTGTGGAATTATATAATTGATACGTTTGAGAAGCTTTCATTAAACGTGAGTTATGGGTGGAGGGTTAAATAATAATAATGTGAATTCAACTGACGGACTTTACAAAATCAACAACTGTTGAGGATTTTAAAGTTTTCCAATGTTTAATTGTTAACAGCGATTTCAAGGCTACTTCACGTCTCCCGACAACTGTATTACAACCGAGTGTAACAGGGGGTTGGCCAAAAGCCAACGTCTCGGAACTCATTGAACTTAAACTTTATTAAATACAGTCCTACAGTTAGGAACCGTTCACACGTAACGTAATCACTAGTTAACTACTATGAAGTACCGATGAAAATAACTGTTAACACTGCACACAAACACCGCCTATCAGTCATTATAAAACATATGCCACAACAAAACACAAAACACAAATAATAACAAACCTGGTATTACAGTGACATTATTGGAGCCCGGCTCCGACTTTACTTTCAACTTGGGGGACGTGATGATCCTGCTGGAGCTCCGTGTCCTGGAGTCACGTGATAGGACGCTGTCGTCACTACCTAGCGTGTTACACGAGCTCACGCTCGATTCACGGTGCTGCACGCCTGGTAAAGTGTGTTAGTGTATCTACGGTGGGTACTCTACCAGATTTATTGCATTATTCTTACACTGTCATGTTTAATCTTACTGATAACTTCAATAAGGATTCACTTTCTAAATACTCCAGCCGTCAGTCTAACAAAATACCTATAATTTAACATTTGTATGTTAAATAGGTATTTAAATAATTATTCACTGACCCCCTCCTCTTTCCTCAGTGTCCACTGACCCCCTCCCTCCCCAGTGCCCACTGACCCCCCTCCCCTTTACCCTTATCGTTATAAATGTCTCTAAATATGTACATTATACAGTGATGAGTGAGTTTAATAAATGACAAGAATTTGGTATCCATAATTATAATACCCTTGGATCTAACAACGTAATAATAACAAAGATTTAAAGTGTCAATATTTTGCGCTCTACAGGGCACATACATCTAGATTTTATTCCATTGTTTGCGGATATTATGTATTATATGAATTAAATGCATAACAACGATAATTAAACACTACCTTATAAAATTGTATGTGGCAATTGACACCCCCGTGTTCTAGAAACTTCTTTACTCAATTCAACTCTTTTATTAGTTGTGTGTAAATTAATGTTCGTCTAAATGTCTATCTTTGTTTTAGTCATTATTTTAACAAATGTGGTCATTTAAGTAGTATGTGATTACTATACAAGGATAATGTAATTAATGTAATTATTAATTAATCAATGGGGCCCAGTAATGATATAATTATTGCAAGGCCATAGATAAATTTAATAAGCACCAAACAGATTACATATTATATTATAATTGTAAAACTGCTCTTTACTTACACAATGCAATATACAATTATTCTTTACAAACATCTTTAAATATTATTTTATTTATATTATAAAAATTGAAGTAGTGACTAGCGTGTAAAGAATACTTGCTATTATAATCTTATTTACACACGACTTATAACGCAGTTAATATAAGCAACAAGTTGTTTTTACATGCTATAAATTCCTCTAGTCTGTTAGAATAATGATTACTATTTATTATAGTTGAGTCGCTGCAATCATTGGTCCCCTGTTGCAAACTGTAAATCACGTACAACCTTGTAATTGTGTAATTATGTAAATGTATAATTATAAATATAAATAGTAAATACTGAGCTACAACTCACTATTCATCGCCTGTTGACATGAAAGCCAAGCATGGTAGACGGTACACAGTGTGCTTTATCAGACTTATATCATGAATAGGTCATGTAAACTACCAATTATACCACATTTACCGATCTATATACCAGATTATATATAATATTTCATGTTATATCTAGATACTGTAGTACAAACTTGTTCGTTTCTCGTGTTCGACAAAGTGCTCTGATAACAAATAGGAGCTTTTTATAAGCGTAACAAAGAAAATATGTTATTGTACTATCGTTTAATTTGTTACGCTTATAGATACTGTACTAGATATATATCACATACATTATAATATAATATAGTATTATATAATTTAAACTGTCAAATGTCCAGACATCTATCTAACCCGCCGGTTAACATTGCTTCAATATCCAATTAAGAGATACATTGTACAAGGTCTTTAGTATCCATCAAGTAGTTTTCTAGCTTGTACAAAGTTATCCCAGCTGAATATTCCAATTTCAAGATAAAACCACTGTATACTGCTCATTAAATATTAGAGTAATTTATATTTTGGTGGGGGAGTGACTAGTGACTAAACATGATGGAATCTTGAAATATGTAAATAATGATCATTAGAGATCCATACGACTCAAAGTATTTGTTATATTATACACATAATAGTGTTGAAAGTATTAAAACATATTAATGTAATATCAGAGGTAGTGTTTTTTTTATTAAATACTTTTCAAATTTTACAGAGTACAGCAATAGATGAATATAAAATAGAATCGTTCAAAATATCGCCCCCATCTGTAAAATATGATGGGCACCCAAACACGGTAAACACATAGTGAACTATGTCCGCAGTAACTTGGACCCATTACATCGAATTAATCTAAATCCAAAAATTTATGAAAAACTATTTAATAACAAACAAATCCATGGTGAATAACTGTGGATATATAGTCAAAATTGGTATTTCAATACGTCAAATTCCAGATACATTAGATACAGGTCTGATATGGTCATTAATGTGTGAGGTGTGCGGGTGAAGTGTGATATGATGTTGAAAGTATAGGAAGGTAGATAAAAAAATTAATAAAACAAAAATAATAATAATATGGGGAGCAAAGAGACTAGGCTAGGCTGTTGTTTCACTATCCAATAAACATTTCCATAGATGCTTAGTGACCTCAGCTTTGAAAACACTTGTAGACACAATCTGTCTTACCTGTAAAGGGAGTCCATTCCACAGTATATGAGTTCTGTAGAAAAATGATTTTGCCAGTGGGCTATTTGAGGTACATAAGGTGTGTGAATTCTGACTTAACTTAGGTAAAATTGATGACACAATAGACAGACTGTCGAGGTGGCAACGTCTTAGTCGAGAAGTGCCCTGATATAAAGTGAGATAGTGAGGCAGCCATACAGGAATTAAATTGTTCAGAACTTTGTGGAAAAAAATAAGATCATTCAAGTCAAACTTTTGAGACAAAGGGAGAATGTCGACAAGCTTGCACTTTTTGACATATTGCTCAGGTGGATAACTGCAGCCCTCTTCAGACAGAATCCATTTAATAGCTCTCTTTTGGAGACTTTCTAATTTATCACTAAGTGATTTATTACAAGGGCGCCAGATTATGGAACAATTTTCGAATTGGCTACGAACCAGGGAGAGGTAAAGCGCCCGGCGACGTTTCTGATCAATGACAATATGGCCATCTCTTCTGACCATACCAAGTTGTTGGCAGGCCTTAGTATAAATTCTGTCGCACTGACTATTCCAACTGAGCTTAGGAGTAACATCGACTCCAAGATCTTTTTCTAACTCTACATACACAAGAGGAGAGCCATCAAGATTATATGCGAATGGAGGAGATAAAGATGGTTTTCCTGAAACAATAAGCACTTTACATTTTGCTGGATGGAATCGCATTTTGTTTCTAAGTGCCCAGTCAGAGAGATAGTCTATAAATTACCTTCAAGGCCGTTAAACAATGTAACACCCTACTACTATCCAATAATATGCATCATTTATGGTTTATCAATAATTATTATAATGTAATCACTGCATGGTAATCATATTTTAAAGTTACTAACGTCATTTGTTTATAAACACATGTAGGGTGTATTATATAAATATAATACACCCAACTCTTACTATTAAAATTGCCGCGCAATCACTTGGCACGTATAACACTTTACTATAACATGTAACATTTGACAAATCAAACTTATTAATAATCACAATTCACAATATCAAGATTTAGTATAACGTATTATAATATAATAATATATAATCAACAAGTCTCGTTCAGCTACCTGAAACTTTCCAAACGTGGGTACGTTGGACAGATCTTAGTTTGGATACTGTAGCATCACACAAACATTCGAAACCTGGCACTTATTAATTATACTCTTATAAATTATGTATTATTACAGCAGCATAAATTTAAGGATTACCAAACTCATTACGCTGCTCTAAAATAATACAGTAAATTATGTGTGTGAATTTAGCTGGCTATACTATAAGTATAACTGTCAGAAGATGTCGACCTCTACTAGGCCCAGGTAAGCGAGCTATTAGAACCACACTTGCTGCATCTCATGAATAATGTGATCTTCTGTGCACACGCGTGTGTACTGTGTGTGTGTAAAGTTAGAGATGTGAGCAGATCGTTATAGCCCTTAGTGGGTGATATCTTGTAAACAGTAGCTTTGAATCAGAGCCAATAAAATAAATACGTCACTTGTACGTCACGCAATAACTTTTATAATTATATCAAATCGGGTATTCTTTGGGGGATTCTTGTTCAGGTTTGGATCTAAGTGATGTTATTTTGTTTACAATTTTACATAGCACAGCTCGCATCATGGTAAATTTAAGAAGTTTATAGGTCCCTTTATAATGTATTTTATTGCGGATTACAACAATGTTTAAAACCCTAAAAGGATAACCTGACAGAATGCCGACTCAATGTCACCTATCAAAACAGAAACCCGTTCTCCCAAGAGGCCCCCTCTCTCCACAGCAGGTATTTGGTATGTCACATAGTTGTGTGATATGCACGGTATGTACTCTGAATATGCGCATATTCTCTCCCAGCGAGCGCAACATTTGTCTTCATGAGGAGGCTGAGTTTTAAGTAATATTGAGTGTAACGTGTGGTGTAAATCTTTCCCGGGGGAAACTTTAGAGCCTTTTGTTTTAAAGTGAAGATGTTTCAGATTCTGGTCTCTGAGTCGGGGCCATCATATATTCAAATACAGAATACCCCAGAATGTAAAATAGGTGTCATCCGAATGTTGAATAACCATGATGCGCGTGTAGAATATCCAGTCCTTGTGATTTATTCAAACAACATAACACATATATAATATTAGTTCTACATTATTATATTGATATGTAATTCAGCTGAATGGTTTGCATTTAAATATAATGTACACTGTACAGGTTCCAATGTTCAGTACCTACCACTAATGTATAATGTATACGGTAATGTATAATGTACTAGGTAATGTTTAACCAGTAAGTGGCTCCCTGCATTGTACTACCCGGATGAAAGTAAGGCACTATTTCACTACTTGCTACCCGGATATACTTACTGGTGTAATTGTTATTGACAGCTGATAGGCACATGTTGGGTAGTTTGTGTACCAGTTAACAGAGGAGTAAATAACATAGTTTAAGACAGATTCGAGTATAAATGTCTTGGTTTGAGATATTATTACAGTCACGGTTTGAGAGTGATAAGTTGTTTGTATTGGCAGCTGTACTGATAGTATTGTAGTGCCAGTTTGTAGGAAAATGTTACAACTATTTTACCAGCATTGTTTGGGACAGGTGTGTATAAAATGTCTGGGTTTGAGAGAGATACGTGGTTGAGTAAGAAACAGTGGAGTGAGGAACAGTTGGAATGTTCAAAGTATTTAAGCAAGGCGAAGTTAATCTCTTTTCCAAATCACATTTTAAGTATAAAATATCGTTTTTTGTTTGAGAATTTTTCTTTGCTTGAAAGAGGATGATTAAACCTAAAGACAATGTCACCCTAACTAGGAATAATCAAGCTAATAAGTCTTAAATAATAGGCGGTAATTTCTTAATTTGAGAGAAATGCAAAGAAAAATTCACCACTCAGCAATACCTTAGACAAGAATTATAAAGGTAAATGCAATAAATGACCAATGGCGGTTACCCACGGGTGTGCCACAATCATACAATGATGAGCAAAAATTACTAATCACGCAGTATGGAGTTATGGACACTTGCCCTCCCCCGGCCCTTCCATCCTCCCCTACCCCCTACCCCCCTCCCCCCTCCCCTCCTCCCCTCCTCCCCCCTCCCCCCTCCCCTCCTCCCCCCTCCCCTCCTCCCCCCTCCCCCTCCCCCTCCCCCCTTCCATCCTCCCCTTCTCCCTTCCTCCCCTCCTCCCCTCCCCCTCCCCCCCCTCCTCCCTCCTCCCCTCCTCCCCTCCTCCCCTCCTCCCCTCCCCCCTCCTCCCCTCCTCCCCTCCTCCCCTCCTCCCCTCCTCCCCTCCCCCCCGCCCCGCCGCCCCGCCGCCCCGCCTCCCCGCCTCCCCGCCCCCCCTCCCCCCTCCCCCCTCCCCCCTCCCCCCTCCCCTCCTCCCCTCCTCCCCTCCTCCCCGCCTCCCCGCCTCCCCGCCTCCCCGCCTCCCCTCCCCCTCCCCCCTCCCCGCGGCCCGCCTCCCCTCCTCCCCTCCTCCCCTCCTCCCCGCCCCCCCTCCCCGCCCCCCCTCCCGCCTCCCCGCCCCCCCCCCTCCCCCCTCCCCCCTCCCCTCCTCCCCTCCTCCCCTCCTCCCCTCCTCCCCTCCTCCCCTCCTCCCCTCCTCCCCTCCTCCCCTCCTCCCCTCCTCCCCTCCTCCCCTCCTCCCCTCCTCCCCTCCTCCCCTCCTCCCCTCCTCCCCTCCTCCCCTCCTCCCCGCCTCCCCGCCTCCCCGCCTCCCCCCTCCCCCCTCCCCTCCTCCCCGCCTCCCCGCCTCCCCGCCTCCCCGCCTCCCCGCCTCCCCGCCTCCCCGCCTCCCCCCTCCCCTCCTCCCCGCCTCCCCGCCTCCCCCCTCCCCCTCCCCCTCCCCGCCTCCCCGCCTCCCCGCCTCCCCGCCTCCCCGCCTCCCCGCCTCCCCGCCTCCCCGCCTCCCCGCCTCCCCTCCTCCCCTCCTCCCCTCCTCCCCTCCTCCCCTCCTCCCCTCCTCCCCTCCTCCCCTCCTCCCCTCCTCCCCTCCTCCCCTCCTCCCCTCCTCCCCTCCTCCCCTCCTCCCCTCCTCCCCTCCTCCCCTCCTCCCCTCCTCCCCTCCTCCCCTCCTCCCCTCCTCCCCTCCTCCCCTCCTCCCCTCCTCCCCTCCTCCCCTCCTCCCCTCCTCCCCTCCTCCCCTCCTCCCCTCCTCCCCTCCCCTTCCATATTCAATTACAAATATCTCACCACGCAGTATTGAGTTATGGACACTGTGCCCTCCTCCCCTCCTCCCCGCCTCCCCTCCTCCCCGCCTCCCCTCCTCCCCTCCTCCCCTCCTCCCCTCCTCCCCGCCTCCCCTCCCCCCTCCCCGCCTCCCCGCCTCCCCGCCTCCCCGCCTCCCCCCTCCCCGCCTCCCCGCCTCCCCGCCTCCCCGCCTCCCCGCCTCCCCCCTCCCCCCTCCCCTCCTCCCCGCCTCCCCCTCCCCCTCCCCCTCCCCCTCCCCCTCCCCTCCTCCCCTCCTCCCCTCCTCCCCTCCTCCCCTCCTCCCCTCCTCCCCTCCTCCCCTCCTCCCCTCCTCCCCTCCTCCCCTCCTCCCCTCCTCCCCTCCTCCCCTCCTCCCCTCCTCCCCTCCTCCCCTCCTCCCCTCCTCCCCTCCTCCCCGCCTCCCCGCCTCCCCGCCTCCCCGCCTCCCCGCCTCCCCGCCTCCCCGCCTCCCCGCCTCCCCGCCTCCCCGCCTCCCCGCCTCCCCGCCTCCCCGCCTCCCCGCCTCCCCGCCCCCCCGCCCCCCCGCCCCGCCGCCCCGCCGCCCCGCCGCCCCGCCTCCCCGCCTCCCCGCCTCCCCGCCTCCCCGCCTCCCCGCCTCCCCGCCTCCCCGCCTCCCCGCCTCCCGCCTCCCGCCTCCCGCCTCCCGCCTCCCCGCCTCCCCGCCTCCCCGCCTCCCCGCCTCCCCCCTCCCCCTCCCCCTCCCCTCCTCCCCTCCTCCCCTCCTCCCCTCCTCCCCTCCTCCCCTCCTCCCCTCCTCCCCTCCTCCCCTCCTCCCCTCCTCCCCTCCTCCCCTCCTCCCCTCCTCCCCTCCTCCCCTCCTCCCCTCCTCCCCTCCTCCCCTCCTCCCCTCCTCCCCTCCTCCCCTCCTCCCCTCCTCCCCTCCTCCCCTCCTCCCCTCCTCCCCTCCTCCCCTCCTCCCCTCCCCTTCCATATTCAATTACAAATATCTCACCACGCAGTATGGAGTTATGGACACTGTGCCTGTTTGCTGGTCTATCACTAGAACTTCTCATCAACAAGGGCGACGGGAAATCTGTACTGTACGCTGTAGAGTGACGTGAACTGGCTGACCTGCAAATGATAATTAGTTAAGGCCACAGGGGGGGGGTCCGAGGTCAATTTTGAGATTTTGAGATATGTTGTAGAGCTCGATCTAAATTTTCAAATGCTTTTGTCCTTACCGAAAACAAAGTTTCCTATTTGAAGATATCGCGCGTTGAATTTTGAGGTTTACCTGTAATTCTATTGTAAATGAAAACTTTAAATGCAATTGTGTTCAAAATCTATCTTCTTTTTTAGTTTATGACTTAGAACCTTGTAACTTGGCAACAATGTTCTTAAAGGTATTTTGAGTTTTTGTTATGTAACGATTTATGATATCTTGCTCCAAAGCTGAGATATAAGGTTAACCATGAGTGAGAATTACAAAATTTACAAAATTTAAAATGGTTAACCTCATAAAAAGAGTTAGGAGAAAAATTACAACAATCGTTACATAACAAACTTTTAAATTTATGTCAGGAACATAAGTTCCAAATTTGAGGTGAAATGGATAAAAGCTCTAGAAGAAGATAGGTTTTTGAGGTGGTAAATAAATTGTTTAGGAGAGTCAAAAGACCATGATTCTGAGAAAATATGTTAACCTCAATTTTCCAACAAATAAAGGACATATAATAGTTCTGTTCACATTGGATGGCCAATTGATACCCATTGATAAGTTTAACTTGTGATGAGAGCAACAAAATGTTAAGAACTGGTTATTTGTGAGGTTAACTGATTAAAAAGGCAATAGTTAACCTCTATTTTACGACAAACTAGTCGCTCTGGGGGGCTAAGGGTGGTGTGCAAGCGTCAGATAGTACGTGGTCTGCCAACTGGCAAAAAACTTTTTTTCGACCTCGGACCCCCCCCTGTGGCCTTAATTGGTTAATTGGTTATCACGGTAATTAGTGAATGACTCAATCATTATAATATTATATATTGAACCTTAATTTCCTTGCTTTGTACAGCGTGTTAACCTATTTAGCTCCTTGATAGGAACGACTATGTTCAAATAACATAATGTTCAAGTAGTCAGGCACGAAATAGCGATCTATATTTAGGTTACAAGATCATTGTCCTCAAAATATTCCACGTGCCCCCACCCCCCCCCCCCCCCCCCTCCCTGTTCCCTCCCGCGTAATAAAATTACAAGGTGAGGACCGATATGTGGACAATCACAAAACAGGACATTCTTATTTTAACTCCTCTTAAGATTATCTTTATTTGTACATATTTAATAAAGAAACTACAAGGAATTATTAGAATTGGTAGATTTATTTTTGCTGAAAGTAACACATGCGACCACCTAGACCGGCATTATAATAAGGTTTCTCCAATTAGAAGACCTGTCACTTTCCCTGTAAATTCACTGCAGAAGCTTGACAGGTATCGCTTCAAACAGTCTCACAATATGTATATTTTTGGCATACCATACTTATAACTTACTAAACCTCACGCTCTCTTGACGTTATATCATATTGTTGATGTTAGCTAAATAAGGGAGGTATTAGACCATGTGAAATGTTATGTTGACCACTGTAATGAGTTATTTAAAGAATGCGCCTCTTTCGGACGTAAATGGCAATCTCCGGCTCTCCGCGCACTGCCGTCACAGAGCATTCAGAGCACGGATCAAACAGTGCAATGTAGTGCAGTGGCATGTAGTGCAGTCTAGTGTGCTGTAGTGCACTGTAACGCGGTCTGAGCTCAAAGCACAAAGTTGCTCGCTGATTATTTGACTAAACACCCAAACAGCTAAACACTGGCTCAGTAGTATAACAATCAAACTGGAGCCTGCAATTCGCGCTAAGTTTGTTAACGCTAAAAACACTGAGCTTGTTATAGTAATATACTAACAGTACACTGTTACTGTAAGACTGGAAGCCTGGCAGCTTATAAACAGTGCCCTCCCAAGGGAATCCAACTCTCAACAGCAAGACTTGTTCTGCGTGCAGAGTTTTACTTTTTATATTACATAATATACTATAGTAGTATCTTATCTATAGTAGTATCCACTATCCAAATAATATTCATAGTAGTATTTATAGGTAGCGGTACTTATGGAAGATAATAAACAGTGCCCTCCCAAGGGAATCCAACTCTCAACATTGCAGCAGGACGACTTCTTCTGTGAGCCGAAATAAAAGTATTTTTACTTAATAGATCATCACTATAATATCAGTCATTGTACTGTACAACTTCAGTATCTTCATATCATTATCTTATAATAAGGCATCTCATATTTTAAGGAATCCAAAATAGTATTGTCTCAATCGAAGGGCAAAAACGATGCAGTTAATTTTCCTTTGAGTAGTAGATCATGAAGACATTTTTGGAATTTTAAGTTGTCAGTGGTGCAGAAATTCTAACACTTTTGTCGGCAATGCGTTGTAAAACTAAAAGTAAGGAAGTAAACCTGGGTTATTTGTAATAGGCGTTAAAAACTAAGTAATAAGGTTTCAAAACTAATAAGGCAGCCCAAACTCAGGGGTTCACTGGACATGGCACGGATTATTGTGCCGTTTATACAGACTTAGAGAATTATCTTCAAACCAGCAATTTCATATTAGAGATAACATAACACACCCCACTGAAACGTCACACTGAAATGTCACACTGAAATGTCACACTGAAACGTCACACTGAAACGTCACACTGAAATGTCACACTGAAATGTCACACTAAAACGTCACACTGAAACGTCACACTGAAACATCACACTGAAACGTCACACTGAAACGTCACACTGAAATGTCACACTGAAATATCACACTGAAATGTCACACTGAAATGTCACACTGAAATGTCACACACTCTCAAACAATCCCGATCACACTGTAACCGCTCGAGATATTTTGGGACTATTCCATATTTGAAACAACCAACAAGTCTCTGAGCAGAACATTTCTTAAATTCCCAGAACCCCCAACTACTACAACTGACATACCACAGACAATATATATACGGAGTACCTGCTACCCTCATTAAAGTCATGGTAAATAGCCAATAATATGTCAATAAAACAGGTAATAAAGGATAATATGGTGCCTTGTACTCAGTACTACCGCATTACATGATCTTACACAGCCAATGGATAATGGTTAGTCAATGATGCGTATTTTATCAATTACGTGTGAGGTACAATTCAAAATACCACACAAGAATTTCTTTTATCGCTTTGGTAAATTTCCGATGGCTCCATCTAAATTCTCGTTTTTACGATGACAGTAGTGGTTTGCTGATCAAGCGACGAGACGTAATCACTAGATTAGATATAGACCAGTTATATAGGGGTTAAATAGCTTTATATCTAATATTAGATTATTCATATTATATTATTAATTATATTTAATATTAGATTATTCATATTATATTATTAATTATATCTAATATTAGATTATTCATATTATATTATTAATTATATCTAATATTAGATTATTCATATTATATTATTAATTATATCTAATATTAGATTATTCATATTATATTATTAATTATATCTAATATTAGATTATTCATATTATATTATTAATTATATTAAATATTAGATTATTCATATTATATTATTAATTATATCTAATATTAGATTATTCATATTATATTATTAATTATATCTAATATTAGATTATTCATATTATATTATTAATTATATCTAATATTAGATCATTCATATTATATTATTAATTATATCAAATATTAGATTATTATACCTAATATTAGATTATTTATATTAGATTATTAATTATACATATCAAAGATTGGATTATTACATCTAATATTAGATTATTTATTCTTAGTAGCTTACAAATATTTTAAGATTTCAAAAAAGTTTCAGGATGGGTTGCACTTGATCAGCGATCTGTATCCCCGACTTAATCTGGAAATGTAATTTAAAACCATAATTTGTTTAGCAGTGTGTTAATCAATTGCAATATGAGCGGAAATTAGATTTAAATGTAACTAGATATCTCATTACACCTTACACTAGAGTAAAGGGTACCTTTTATCTTAATTCCAAGGAATCTGGTGCCATTGATTAAGTAATGGCCCCTCTACAGATTATAAATAAAGTATTTTACTCGAATGTCTCAACCATATTACATGAAATGAAATGAAATATTATACAATATGATATGTGTGATATAATATAATATCACAATTATTGCACAATCAGGAATTTCCTTCTTAAATTTCTGCTAATTTCCATCCGGGTAATTAGTTACTGCCTTGCCGAGGAAGTGCAACCAGTTAATCAATGCTATTCTAGTTCTAGAAAGCTTCCTTTGATAAGAGAGATTATTACACGTAAATTTAGTATCCACTGTTGACCAAGACATTAAATAATATAATACAACATTATTATTATTTTGGTTTCAAATATCACAAGGCATATGTTTGAACATTTATTTAACACTGACGCAACATTTTTGCAATAAAAACGTACAACACGAAATCCAAATACAATAACCAAGTCACTTCCAGTCAAATTCAAGACCCTCTCATTTCCTCTCTTCACGAAAGATGTCACAATCGTGTAGTCTCCTCGGCTAGCAAAGTCACCCGGACAGTTTTAGCACGACGAGACAGATTCCTCCTCCTTTTCTTCGTTATCTTGATAAACAAGTCCCGTACAAACTGTCTGAGCTTCCTCAACCTTATAAAGTACACAGCGGGATTAGCCACGCAAGTGAAGGAATAAGCGAACTGCAGGGCTATACTCTCCATTAGAGCTGACACCTCCACTCCCTTCATCCTCATGATCCTCTCTGCCACAAACGTGGAGGATGCTGTCAGACAAATAGCGGTCAGGATCATGACAGTTACTGTGGCGCTGCGTTTTTCTGGGGATATGGGGAACTGTTGAGAGGAGCGACGGAGCGTACAAATTGTGATGAGGCAACCCAAAACTGATGGAACAAGTATCAGGGAAATAAGGATGAAGCTGACTCGTGAGAAGTCAGCCAGCTGACCAGTTTTCACGATCTCCCAGCCACATTTCAGTGATTGGGGTCTAAATGAGGCTTGGAGAG